AACCCACACTGCTTGGCATGGGAAAGCTGATGGCATGTTTCTGGCTATCAGTGTTCTGCAAGAGTAAAGTATATGTTCAAAAACTATAAAAAGGTAAAGGTACCCCTGACCGTTAGGTCCAGTTGTGGCCGACTCTGGGGTTGCGGCGCTCATCTTGCTTTACTGGCCGAGGGAGCCGGCATTTGTCTGCAGACAGCTTCCGGGTCATGTGGCCAGCATGACCAAGCCGCTTCTGGTGAAGCCGTTTACCTTCCCGCCGGAGCGGTACCTATTTATCTACTTGCATTTTGCCGTGCCTTCGAACTGCTAGGTGGGCAGGAGCTGAGACCGAACAACGGGAGCTCACACCGTCGCAGGGATTCGAACCTCCGACCTTCTGATCGGCAAGCCCTAGGCTCTGTGGTTTAGACCACAGTGCCATCTGCGTCCCTCAAAAACTATAGTATGCTTTTATTTCCCTTTTTTGAGAAAAAGAGGGAGGGGGAATGTGTGCAATAGCTAATATTTAATTTGTGGGTTGGGGTTCAGCTCTCCCCGGGGTACCATCCCTTCTGCCCGACAAGTTCTGTCTGCAAGCCCTGTGAAGAGAGTCGCTAAAATAGCTCATTTATGTGGAGTTGTCTCCTGTCTGTATTACAGTCGAGTCACTGAAGCCATCACCATTCCCCACGGGCGACTGGATTAGATCAAAGGTGCAGGGCTCCGTTTCCCACAGCAGCCATCAAGATGCCTCCTGGAAGCCCACAAGCAGGCGTGGAAGTGATTTACCTCCTGTAGTTGCTCCTGAACGCAGAGCCCTCAGATGATTGTAGTGGCTGGTGAGATTGCAGTATGGCACAGGGATTAGAGTGCTGGACTCGGATTGGAGAGATCCAGGATCAAAACACCAGTTTGCCGTGAAGCTCGCTAGCTATCCTTGAGCCACTTGCTCCCCTCATCCTGCCCCACCGTCTGCCTCACCTACCTTGTAGGGTTGTAGTGCAGATAAAACTGTCTTGATGGCAATTGTGATGTGACTTCCTTTTGTCTGTATTGACCTCCTTCCGGTCAGTTTCTTTAGACAGTAGCCCTAAGTTCTCATAATAAGAGAGATGGAGAAAAACTTTGCCCTTTCTGTTTCACCACACCACAAAACACACCTCCCCTTCGCTCAGTGTATAAGAAGCCTCCAGCCTTTCTTCATAGGCAAGCAACTCCAGTTCCTGGAAACCACAGGAGGGGAGCATGCTCTTGAACCCGGGTCCTGCTTGTGGGTTTCCCATGGGCATGTGGGTGGCTACTGTGTGAGAACAAGATGCTGAATCAGCAGGCTCCTTTTATGCTCTCTAGGCCCTTGATCATTTTAGTCGCCCTTTTCCAGCTCCACAGTGTCCTTTTTAAGAATTAAGGGTTTGGGGCACAGGAATTGAGATAGAAGGGTTCTCTTGGAAGGAGCCCCCATAACCGTTGCTCATTTTACAGGCTTAAGACCACTAGGATTTGGATGCCCACAGTGAAGTTATGTCAGGTCCAAGTAAATGTCTTCCGAAAAACTTGAGCTTTTCATATTTAGTACGGATTACATTATTGAATTGTTTTTTAAAAATGTGTAGCCCACCCTGCATCTTGAAATCCCCTGGTGGGAAATAATAAAAGCAATACTCTGTCTGTTCAACAGCTTCTTTTTCCTCCTCTTTCTGTCCCTCTTCTTCTCTTCCCTGACCCCCAAAATATCTGGAGGTTTTATCCAACCCTTCTGGATCCCAAGATTTCCACAAGCATTGCGCACATTTTTTCAAGGTTGCCTCCTTGGCCAGAAGGACTAGAAGCTTGTTTTTATTATTAATATTACCCTATTAATCATAATACAGTGGTACCTTGGTTTAAGAACAGCTTAGTTTATGAACAACTTGGATTAAAAACGCTGCAAACCCGAAAGTAAGTGTTTTGGTTTGTGAACTTTGCCTTGGAAGCAGAACATGTTGAGTGTGTTCCATTTGTAAATTGAGTCCCTCGCTGCTATGGGAAAGCATGCCTCGGTTTAAGAACGGACTTCCAGAACGGATCAAATTCATAAACCAAGGTACCCCTGTAAATACAGTGGTACCTCGGGTTACATACGCTTCAGGTTACAGACTCCGCTAACCCAGAAATAGTGCTTCAGGTTAAGAACTTTGCTTCAGGATGAGAACAGAAATCGTGCTGCGGCAGCAGGAGGCCCCATTAGCTAAAGTGGTGCTTCAGGTTAAGAACAGATTTAGGTTAAGAACGGACCTCCGGAACGAATTAAGTACTTAACCCGAGGTACCACTGTAATAATAATGGAATCTTAGGTTTCTCAGGTGGTTGTGCTGTGCCGCACATCGGGCTCGTTCAGGGTGCATAAATACGTACATACAGCCTCGCTAATGCAATGGACACCTGCCCCAGTGCTGATTGTTTTCTGGGGGCCTCTAAAAAAGAAAAGAGGTCTTACACCGTTGCAGGGGTCAGTCTGCCCTTCCTGGGAGCTGGCAAGTGCTGCTGCTGGGGGTACAGCACCCGCCTTCACCCTGAAAAGGCAAACATTTCAACGACAAAGGAGAAGTGGGCTGGCACGGGGGGGGGGGCGGCATTGCATGCGGTGCATTTCCCCAGACCTCAGCCACTCTCTATGACTCTAGGCATGTATATTTACGCTGGGAGAACAAAGGGCCCATAATCTATACAAAGCAGACAACAATGAGCGTGAATAAAGAGGCTGCCGGAGAAGGGAAGGCAATTTATTCTAATTCTACTAATTTCAGTTCCAGCACAATTAAAAAGGCTCTGATAATATTCAGAAACAATCGCCGGCTAACAAATCGTTTCTCTCGCTGTAAATGAAACATCGTTAGGCTAATTTTTTCTTTCACGCCTTCACGGCTCTCGGGTTCTGATAAAGTTAACCCCCTCCTCTTCCATCTCCTCTCTCTCTCCCCCCCCTCCATGCACACACAGAAACTTATTTCACCCAGATGAATAAGGCCGGAGAGAGAGAGAGAGAGGCCAGAGAATGGCAGACTTTGCACCACACAGAAAACCCGCTGGCTTCTCTCGTTCGTTATTGTATTGCCGTCTTGGCAAATAGGGCTGGCCCAGATGTTTGGGCAGTGTCAGCAATGGCCATGGGGTGCACAATTAATAAGGGGGTTCATCATGCCAGCTGCTGGTGTGAAGCAGCCGTACACCCAAAAATTCTCAGATGTGTCCAAGTGTACTTTTGGTGGGGAGTGGGGAGAGAGGCTTCCCACCATCCTTCATACTATCAAGAACAGGTGGGCATGGACAAATCTCTCAAGGTCGGTTTCTAATTTCCCCCAGTCTTTATTTCAGCTGCCCACATTTTTTGCATTGCATTTTTTAAAAAAGAAGAATCCTCCTGGAAATTCATGAATAATTTGGATCACATTTCTCTTAATCTACACATTTATTTAGGCAATTTCCTCTAACAGAATGCACTGGCGTACGTTATTTTTGTTACTAACTGCATTTTTGCTCACATTTTTGGGGTTTGTTTCCCCCCAATATTTGGAGAAGTGCAAATTTAGGAGAGTAGTTCACATATTTTGGTGGGGAAGAACACAACTCCCCCACCCCCCAGTCTCTAAAAAAACCCCTTAAGGCAGCTGTGCCAAGGAGAGCCTAGGGGAGCGTTTCTGCCCTATTCTTCCAATCCATTGCCCCAGATATGCACGCAGCAGGCACCAGTCCCCAACAGCATCTCCCAAGTTGGGGGAAGGATTCCTTGCCTGAAACTCTGGAAAGCTGCTGCCAGTCCGTGTAGACAGTACTGAACTGGATAGACCACTGGTTTTATTTGGTATAATGTTGCCCCTTAAGTCACACCTTTGGGTTTTGGGGAGGCATACTGAGCATTTGAATTCCTATTGCCGCTACTGCTTTTATTTGTAATTAAAGTCTGTAATTTGTTTTATGCATGTTTGATTTTGGTTTACATTGCCCATGGTTCCACTCTGGGAGGCAGCTTAAAAAGACTTCAGATTAATGAATAGGAGGACGATGCTACGTCTGAGCCATGACAGATCTTGGGAATTCTAGAACAAAGCTTTTCTATGTCCTTAATCTCCCAGTACTCCACCTCATTTTCTGTCCCTGAGTTCTAGTATTATGAGCGCTGGAGAAAAATATTCCTGTTTTCCTGGTGAGTAACATGGAGCCTAAGCAATTAGCACAGGGACAGTCACGGCCGAGAGATTTACTTGCTGCTGTTAAATTATTGCGACTCAATGCACTATAAATCACCCAGGGAACACATTCTGCCTTCTGCCCACCACATCCCTAGACAATTTTATGCTTGCGCCCTGGTATACCTCTAGAGACAACTTTTTCTCCTCCTTTTCCAAACGAGCATGCAACCAGAACCCACCCATATGTGACAGAAGAGGCTGCTATTTATTGCCAATATCCTCTCAATGCGCTATTGATTTGCCAGGAGACCTCAAACTCTGTGGATCGTTAATTGCACTGTTCTTGGTGCATTAAAAAAACAAATGTAGCATGTTACTTGAGCGTCTCTTTTAAGTTGGGCTGGTGGAATGCCTGCATAATTTCTGACCTAGTTTTGCTCTTGCAGGCACCTTTGGTGAGATGGAAGAAGGGGACAAAGTTCCTTTGGAGGACCACAGCCATTCGGAAAAGGAGGGAGGCGCTTCTGACCGCGAAGGCTCCGTGGAAGGCGATTTGTCCAGCTCCCCTTGCAGCGAAAGTAAGTTCATTTCTTGTGCTGTGCCTCAACTTGCAGGTGTTGTTGGGGTCCCGCTCCCATCAGCCACAAGCCAGAGGGGCCAGTGGTCAGGGATGAAGGGAGTTGTGGTCCAGCAACATCTGTGAGGCTGCAGGTCCCCCCCCCCTGCTCTGATACGTGAAAGGATTGCTGTGGTCATTCTGTAGAGAAGGAAAGGCAATCTGCCCATGCTCAGAGGTGCAGTCTTTTATTACTCCTGTTTCTCATATGGGAACAGAAAAGGATGTAGTTCAGTGGTAGTGCCATGGCTCAGCAGTAGAGCATGTGCTTTGCACACAGGAGGTCCCAGGTTCAATCCCCAGCATCTCCAGATAGAGGTGGGGATCCTGGAGAACTGCTGCCAGTCAGTGCAGGCAATATTGGGCCAGATGGACCAAGGCTATGACTCTGTGTAAGGCAGCTTCCTGTGTTCTTCCACTGTCTGCAATCATACTTAGGGTTTGCAACATTTGCAAAGCAGGTTGTGCACGTGAACTTACAAGAGACTTGTAATATAGGTCAGTACTATTGTTCCCATACTGCAGATGAACAGCCTACTCTAAGGGCTGCTCACGGCTTCGTGGGAGAGGCAAGACTTCAACTGGGGATTTCGTAGCTCTGCTTCTTATAGCCTCTGTGCTGCTGCTTCTGCTGTTGCAGCAGCAGCTCCCTGCTCTGGCTCAAATTTCAATCAATAAATTCTGCTCTCTCTCCACAGCAATTTGTAATCTAATTAAGGGTCTGAGTTTCTTGCTACTGCGCCTTGAAAGACTGCAGACCTGGCTAGGTAAATGCTGACCTAGAAATGCAACATACACACACACACACACCCCGCTTCTGTCTCCCAGCTTTTTAGAAACATGAGTTGGCCCAAACAATAGTGACTGTCTTATTTGTCAATAGAAGCAGCAGGAATATAGAGGCTGTAATACTATGTGTGCTTACATGAGAGAAAAAGTCCCTAGAAAAGAGCAAGATTAACTTCTGAGTGTTAATGTCGACAAGATCTAATTGGACTACTTTTACCTCTCCACACCTCCCTCCCTCCCTCCCTCCCCTTCCTCTCTCATTTATTTATCTATAAAGACATTTTTATTATTTTAGACAATTTTATAAATGGTTAAATGTTACAATTGAAAATAGAATTTAAAAACACATTTCTCAAAAAGGAAATCAGATAACTTCCCATGAGTCAACTCATCCTTCTAGAGAAGGCTAGACAAATAAGAAAAGTTTGTGGCACCCAACAAAATGTGTATAAATGTTTGAATGTTACAAAATAGCTTAGCAGCATGCAGCAGGAAAAATACAATTGAAAACAGAATTTAAGAACACATTTTTCAAAACAAAGAAATCCGATAACTACCTATGAGTCAACTCATCCTTCTGGGGAAAGTTGGACAGATAAAAACCGTTTCTGGCACCCAACGAAGTGTGTACAGTGTTGGAGGCTGTGTTAAGGCCCCATCTGTGCTAAACATTTAAAGTTAAGAGGCCTCTGTTGCCCTCACAGAGCTACAGTTCCCAGATTCCTGAACCCATTAAACCACTCTAGGAATTGTAGCTCTGTGAAGGAAACAGGGGTCTCCTCTCAGCACCAAACAGGCAAACTACAGTTCCTGGGGTTCTTTGGAGGAAGCCATGACTGTTTCAAGTGGTATGATAGTGTTTTGAAAATACAGTGCCTGCAGTGACTACCTCCCAATGCATAATGTGTGCTCTGCCAGGTAGGGCTGCCATGTGTCCTCTTTATCCAGGACATGTTCTCCTTTTCAGGGGTAAAATTTAAGACAAATTGCATCTGTTTGCTTTGAATGGCCAGCATGGTGTCCTCTTTTTTGCTCTTCAATATAATGACAACCCTACCCAGGTAATGTGCTCCTGTGCCTTTTAGGCCATAACAAGGTTCCCTAAAAAAAGATGATGTCATAGAACACAACTATGGGTATATGATGATTATTATATACTTTTTTCTTTTCATTCCCCCCGCCCCAGTTTCTTTTCTTACTTATTTGTTTCATTTATATGGCAAGGCACCCAATGGCATTTTAAAGCACTAAAACAAATGATATAACATGTAAAGTTGGCTGCAGGGAACAGGGGGCAGTCTGACTGGAGTAGGCCCTGATGTTGTGTGTGCCTCCTTCGCTCGTCCTCTTCTTCCTCCTCGCAGGCCAAAAGGAGGCAGAAAGGGCCTGCTTCATATTCCTGCCAACCGGTTCCCATTTGGTAGTGGGACATAACCTAGAGCCTAAGTTGTGTGTTTTGGTTTCATTTTCTGCTTCGTAAATGGTGGGTGTGCTTGGATCCTAAGCAGAGGGTCAGCAAATTTCTAAAGCTGTTTTATTTATATATTTATATATAATAAAAAACAAGGGAGCATAAATAGTAATATTCATAATTTGATTATCTCCCTGATAAATACCAGGCATTATTTGGTGACCCTTGGCCATCTAATCTTTCCTCTTTCATGCACACGTATGCACACACATTGAGCGTTGAGCCAGTGTGGTGTAGTGATTAAGAGCAGTGGACTTGTAATCTGGTGAACCGGGTTCGATTCCCTGCTCCTCCACATGCAGCTGCTGGGTGACCTTGGGCCAGTCACACTTCTCTGAAATCTCTCAGCCCCACTCACCTCACAGAGTGTTTGTTGTGGGGGAGGAAGGGAAAGGAGATTGTTAGCCCCTTTGAGACTCCTTAGGGTAGTGATAAAGCGGGATATCAAATCCAAACTCTCCTCCTCCTCCTCTCATCCCCCTGGCACGGTAACTGCTATTGTCCACGCACAACTGCATAGATGTCTATTAGGAAGCTGTTAATCTCTGAGGGACTTGCAGGATGTTTGGGACCTGGGGCAGGGGCAGTGAGGCAGTTTGTGCGTGGGTGGGAAGCCAAGTGTTTTGTGCAATGGCAGACTTTGACCCACCAAGCTAGTCTGTAGAAAAGGAAGCAGGAGATTTCTTTATCTGATTTTTAAGGCTCTCTACAAGAGCCTCAGGCTGAGGGGTGGGGGGTTGGGGGTTGCGTGGGGGGGAGGTTAGGGAGAGCAGAGAGCTCTGAAAGCTCCAGCCTGAACAGTGCACCTGGCACTAGCGCGTTGTGATAAAAGGAGGCGATAGCGCATGATAACGCACCGGCTGCAATAACTGCTGCTCCTGTGGCGCATAGCAAAAAGCTTTCAGCGCGATGGATAACAATCAATATGCCAGCCACTTTGATTTATAGCCAAAAATAATGGGACTTTTATACCCGGCGATTGATTTATTTGATGTTAATCATCCACCCCACCCCCCCATTCCCGCCTTATCACCTGTATTAATAATCACCAATCGCCGGTGACGTCACCACCCCCAGGCGCCCTTTATGGCGCCAATCGATTGGGCCATGGTTGTGGGGCCTTTTTTGGCGGTGGTTATTGGGGGCCCGGGTGCAAAGGCAAACATGCCCTCTGCCCGCTAATCTTTCACGCTGTCTTATGCAGATAGGCTTATCGGCAGGATCTTGAACAGCAGTTAATGGGGAAAATAATTGTCATCAAGTTGCTATGAGTCTGCCACCGGGAGAGTAGGCCCAGGAAGTAAGTTCTCTTTCCCCACCCAATTTTCTTTTCTTTTGTTTTTTTTCTTTTCGTCAGCCAGCTGGTGCTGGGAGAAGGCGGATGGGAGGCCTGGAAAATAAGGAAGCAACTCTGAGGCCCCCAAATCATCCAGTCAAGGTTGATGTTTGTATCACACAAGCTTAAAGTGAAGCATCCTGGGAGTGTTCTGGGATTGCCAGCTCAGTGAGCTCTTCAGCAGAGGCGCTCTGTTATGTGCCCTTTCTATATGGGCTGCGTAAGGTTGGGGAATAGCCGTAGATTGGTAGAAGAGCTCATGCATTGCTCGCAGAAGGCCTCAGGTACAAACCCCGGCATCTCCCTATAAGTGTGGGAGACTCTGGACAACTGCTGCCAGTCAGTGTGGGCAGTACTGAGCGATGTGGAGCAATTGGCCTGGCTTGATATTATGTACTTCGAATGACTTGAGAGAGAGCATTCCTGAGCAATTGGCATGCTCATTCTGATGGCTTGTTTTGTTTTGTTTTGTTTTGTTTTGTTTTGTTCTGTTTTATTTTATTTTATAAAAAAGCATTCATTTTCTGGGAAGTTCTTTTTAATCTCTTCATAACAAGGTGTGATTGACCCTTCTGATATTTTAGTGCCGAAACAGCTTGATAGGTAATAGGTAAACTGTACGACATCTTTATTTTCAGACTGCTTGATACTGATTTTATCTGCTCTTTTATTTTATATTATCTTTTTCTTCTTACCTTTTTTCAAACTGTTGTTAGCTGACCTGGAGAGTTTATGGAAAGGCAAGGTATAAATGTCAGCTGTGGCTTCTTCTCTTCTTTAAGGCCTTACTGGCTGCAAATAAGCTTGAAAATAGATCGAGAGTGGCTAGTAAAACCTGATATGCCCAAGTGAGTCTTAGCAAGAGGTAGTGATTAGCACTTTGCATAGCTCCTTATTCTTGCTTGTTGCCCCGCCTTCAATTTGAATAAATTTTAATTTGCAGAATTCATTTGAATTTTAGACTTTGCCTTTTATTATTAGAACTTCATTGAGTTTTGTTTTTTTAAAGTATTGAGCACCAGTGCAGCATAGTGGTTAGAGTGTCAGACTAGAACCTGGGAGACCAGGGTTCAAATCCCCGCTCGGTCATGAAGCTCAGTGGGTGACCTTGGGCCAGCCCCTCTCCCTCTCAGCCTAACCTACCTTACAGGGTTGTTGTGGGGATTAAATGAAAGAGGGGGAGAACCATGAGCTCCTTGGAGAAAAAGGTGGGATATGAATGCCACAAATAAATAAAATATTGCAAAGTATGTCTGGTTTGTGGGCTCTGTCTCCAAACATCAGGTACAGGGAAGATATAGAGATAATACACAGGTAGGGGTGCCAACTTAAATAAAATATTGGGGGGGGGGAGGTAAGCCACGCCAAACACAATCACAAGATGCAGCGCACACACACACCATTTGAATCGCAATGCCCATCAACTGGGGGGGGCGAGCTCAAATATTTTATTGGGGGAGTTGAAGGGGCCTCGGCCCTTAGGAGTTGGCTGTTATGAGGATGAGTGATGAGGCAAGGGCTGCAGCAGTCAGATTCATTATTATCTAGCAAGCAGCTCTGTATGTTGATTGTCACCTTGTGGGGTTTCCTGGCATCCTACGCACGTCTTTCTATCCTTGGTTGGGAGCCAGTTCAACATATTAAATGTCATTATTATTCCTGGGCCTAGTTCTTAGACATCAGGTGAGAGCCCAACCCAGACATTAGGTGATGTGATAAACAATTCACTGGACCACTTCTGTCTTTGAAAGCTGAGGGGTGGGGGAAGCACAGCTCACACGGTCAAATGCTCTACTAGAATTAAAATGTCTGCACTTAGAAAACAGTTGTCTCCAGAAGACAAGCTAAGCTTGAATCCCTTCCTGCTGACACACCCCTTTCCAGTTTGCAGGGGCTGGTGTCATTTTGGATAGAAGGTGTCAGGAAACTGCCATTGGCTCAGAGGTGAGAGGTGAAAGGGCAGTTGTGTTACAGGGAACCTCCAAAAATCTTGCGAAGCAGTTCCTCCTCTGGCGAGGAGGGAAGTCCCACCTCCAGTGGAGAGGAAGTGGTGGGAGCAGGGGATGCTAGGGAGAGCCTCAACACCGAGCCTGAGCAAACCAGAGGGGAGGGAAGTACCCCTTTGCCAGCGCCCATTCTGCGCAGTAGGTTTAGGTGCAGGGAAGGGAGGAGAAGGTTGGGGGTCACGTGACTGTTATGCTGGAGGAGGTATAAGAACCGGCCACTCCCAGATTCTGCTAGCGAGTGAGCCAGACATGAACTTGCGACGCTCTTCACTGTAAATAGTTTGCACTAATAATAAAGCCTGGAAAAGACAGGTCGGAGTCTTGCCTGTTTGCTCTCGAGCAACCACACCAGCACCTGACAGAAGAGGTATAGTATTCACCCATGTGCATCCCCATGTACAGCGTGAAATGGTACAGACCAGAGTCAGTTCCATGCAGTACAATCACATCCTGATCATCCCACTTGCTGTGTGGGGGAGCTAGGTCTATAATTTCTATCTCCAAAGAACACCCCCTTCTTAGCCATGGCGAGCGCTCTGTTCATGATGCAGCTGTGTGAATGGCTGTCTTGAAGCTGGATCATGTGACTTGGCTCATAAAAGCCTGGTGCACCTGAATGGCTGACCATATTTTCTTCACAGCCCTCAATGATTCTGAGTGATGATTCAATGATTTCATTACTTCAATTTTCAGAGGCTGAACTCAGAGAGAGCTTGGAGAGCCCAAAGGAGCCAGATAAACAAGAGATTCTGGAGAAGCCCCAGGAGCCGAAGCTTTGGAACGGGCCAGGTAAGTACCCCCGCTCCTCCTCCTGTCTTCCCTGCTAAACCAACCCAAACTCCCCTAAGTAATGAAAAAGATCTCATGCAGGTAGGGGCAGGCCTGTGCTGCTTCTGCTCTCATGGGGCTAGTATCTTAACTAAGTTCCAAACTGAGCACAGATCTCTCCAACCAAAATTGGTTTTTAAATGAAGGCAATCAATCAGAGACTTTTAATTCTTTCCCCCTTGATTGATCGACACCTTTTGGGGAATCCTGAAGGACAGTGTCTTTAAGAACGCGAAGTCTTCTTTAATAATTTGAAGCAAAAATCGCCACTCTTAGGGAGAAAGTCCACGGTTAATGTTTCCTTTCTGCGTCAAATGTGGGGATGTTACAGACAGAGCAGAGCTAAAAAGCTTCTGAAGGCTAGTAAGCTCATGAGCCCTGAGTATTGTGAGCCGTGAGTTTTAGGAAAGCTGGATGCTGCTCATAGTCCCCCCCCCCCTTCTCACTGGACTTTCATCTGTAAACCAACAAGGCATGCAGAGAAACAATTGGGTGTGCCAGTCTCCATCTGTCAGTGGAAAAGTCTGTGAGTGTGTGATGAGCTGGCGAACAGCAGCTTGGTTATATATGATCTGGGGTGGAGGGGGATGGATGTGTATTTAGAGTGATAGGGAAGGATCCTTAGCTAAGCACCTGCTTTGCATGGTCCCAGGTTCAATCCCGGGCATCTCCAGGTAGGGCTGGGAGAGAACCTTGCCTGAAACCTTAGAAAGCTGCTGCCTGTCAGTTTAACTAATTCTGAGTTAGATGGGCCCATGATTTGACTAAGTATCAGGCTGGCACCTGTAGGGATAACTCCCCTGACAGTGGAGGTAGAGCTTGGCCGTTGTGGGTTGCCTTTCTGTCCATGAATTTGCCTAATCTTCTTTTATCCAGGTTGGTGGCCATTCCTGCCTTCTGTAGGAATGAGTTCCATAATTTAACAATGCGCTCTGTGGAAAAAGTACTTCCTCTTGTCTGCCTTGCATCCTCCCGACATTCAGCTTCATTGGAGGTCCATGAGTTCCAGTGTTATGAGAGGAGGAGGGACAATTCTCCATTCATTTTCTCAATGCCATGCATCGTTTCATGAACTTCTACCATGTCGCCTCTTACTCACCTTCTCTCTAGCCCAAAAAGTTTCCTCAGAGGAGAGTTGATCCCACCCCCTCGATCATTTTGATTGCCCGTTTCCGAATGAAGCCAGTAAGCTTCCTCCTCCTTAGTAGAACTCATCAAGGAAGAGGATGGGGACGGATCTAGAATGAGTTGGATCCAAACGGGCACCAGGCATCACGGTGTGTCACTGAGGATGGCAGCCTCTGTGATCTAGAATGGATTAAGGATGAGAAATCTAGTTCCATGTCTGTGAGACTGCCTCAGGTGTCTTTAAAAAAAGAAAGTTCATCATTTCTTACTTATTTGTGGAGGAGGGCCCTTTGTTGTTTTCTTATCCTTCCTCCTTTTCCAAGCACATCTCAAAACTGCAGCTTTTGCTTTATGGCTTTTGCTGCTTGAATTGAGAGGATGACCAAATTCATCCTAGCAAATCCACAAAGACACCCCACCCCACAGCTGCTCGGTCACTTTGTAAAGAACTCCAAAGTCCAGACTGCCTTGAGTCCCCGCCCCCATGCCCTGAATGCGAATCCCATCTCCCTCTGCAGCAGCAGTAGTTGCTTGTGAGTATTATAATATTATTAAAAGGCTTCATACACTGCCTTTCATTTCAAGAAGAAATACAGTGGTACCTCGGGTTACATACGCTTCAGGTTACATACGCTTCAGGTTACAGACTCCATTAACCCAGAAATATTACCATGGGTTAAGAACTTTGCTTCAGGATGAGAACAGAAATTGTGCTGTGGCGGCGCGGCAGCAGCAGGAGGCCCCATTAGCTAAAGTGGTGCTTCAGGTTAAGAACTGTTTCAGGTTAAGTACGGACCTCCGGAACGAATTAAGTACTTAACCCGAGGTACCACTGTACTAGGGCGCTTCAAAGAAATGAAAAAAGCCTAGCCAACAGCAAAATAACAAGAACAAAACCAGTTCTAAAAATGCAGCTATCCATAATTAAAAGGCACAGTGAAGCAACAACATTATAACATCCATAATTAAAGTATATAATAAACAAGGCAAATTAAAGCAGTGTAACAATAAAGAGAAACCATTAAAGCAACAAAGGAAGCAGAAGATTCAAGTCAGGAGATAGGAAAGTGAGAGTTGCTTCTAAAAGTGTTTATCTGCTTTCTTCTTCTTTCCCCTGCCCCAACACACACACACAGAAACACACACACTCACCACTCCCTGTTCAGGAAGGGAAATGTCTGTTCACAGCCAGGCTGATATCCCCAGCCCTTCCTAGATGTATTGGCCGGAAATATATCTGCAGGACTTCCCTCGCCACTACCTCCTCTGTCTCTTCCTTGGTTATCTGCTCTTTCCCACCCCAGACCTTTTGGCCTCGATGGACGGATGTGAGGCTGCTCTGCTCATCCTTGGCTGGCCACATGGCACAGCACCCCCTCCTTCCTCCCACCCACCCTGCCTATGCCTGCTCTGTCCACTGCTGCTCTTCATTCATCTCAGAATAGCACAAGGGAGACTCAAGATGCCCAAATCCCTTTTGCCAACATACTAAGAGCAGAGTAATGGTTTATATCCAGCTTTGCTTACGGGACCCTTAACCTTGACTTTGTCCCTGGCTCAGCCCCAAGAACTGGGGGGTTGTTGTCTTCTCAAGGGGTAGGATGCTCAGCTGATGGCACAACAACCAGATAAGACAAAGTACTCCTTCAACACTTTATATTCTTTCATTGGTAACGTAAGAGGAAAAATGACTATTACTCATACGTAATCTAAGCACCACCACAAGGGATCCTGATTAAGCGTTTAGCTATTTGATGCTGAATGTTATCTGTTAATTCTCTTCTATCCTGTTTCCCCATTCTTTTTCATAGAATCATAGACTGCTAAAGTTGGAAGGGACCGCAATGGTCATCTAGTCCAACCTCCTGCAATGCAGGAATCTTTTGCCCAATGTGGGGCTCAAACCCATGACTCTGAGATTAAGAGTCCCACGCTTTACTGACTGAGCTATCCATCAAAAACTCTCTTCATTTAAACCATTTCGTGAACCAAGAACCTATACACTGACTGATAACAATACACCCGTATATGGTAACTATTAGTGCAAAATTTATTATGGTTGTTGTGATATACAAATGACATGAGAAGTCTTGGTCTGTATCATTTATTATTCCGATGATCCTTGTTGATAAAACCCAACAGAAAAAATGACGACAAGGTTCTCCTTCATGCAACACATACTTAAACTGGGGAACTCATTCTCACAGGAGGCAGTGCTGGCCACCAACTTGGTTGACTTTAAAAGAAGATTAGATAAATTCATGGAGGATAAGGCAATTAATGGCCACCAGCTATGATAGGTATACTCTGCCTCTCCACTGCTGGAGGCAGTACTGCTTCTGCATGCCAGTTCCTGGAAACCACAGGAGGAGAAAGTGGGTGGCCACTATGAGAACAGTTTGTTGGGCTTGACGGGCCATTGGCCTGATCCAGCAAATTCTTATCATGTCCACATATATTAGGGATGGCGAATAAATTTGATTTAGTTTGCATTTAATGGTGATCCCTCCCTAATTTGTGCTTTCCAATACAATGCGCAAACCAAAACACAGCCCTTCTTCGAAATTCGCATTTCTCTGAATTTTGCAATGTAGTTCTCTAGCCAAGCAATATATACAAAGATTTGTATACTAGCGTGCATAAAAATGCATGTATTGTTGAAAATAGCACATACCAAAATACATTATATTAGAGAGAATTGCTTTACAAAAATGTGCATATCAGGCAAAAGTCATATAAAAAGTGAATGTTTTATTATCCACATGAAGATATTGATGGATTTGCATAATGACTTTTTTTTTTTAAATGGTAACTGATATAAAATGTGGAGAGCTGAATTTAAGACTGGAAAAATGAGAAACTTGGAGAAACTTGAAATTAACCCATTCATCCATCCCTTGCTCTTGGTTTATTTGTTACATTGATATTCTTCCTCTCCTCCAAGGAGCTCAATGTAGCATCAAAGCCCCCCCCCCTTTAAATCTGTGCAACAATTCTGTGAGATAGGTTAGGCTGAGAGAGTAGTAATTTGTCCATGATCATCCTGTGAATTTTGTCACCCAATAGGGATTTGAACTCAGACCCTCTAACCACTGCACTACTGCAGCACATTGCATCCAGCTGCACTGATCCTCAGTCTTGTCTGCAGATGGTGGGTGATGATAGGACCAGCACATGAGAAACTGTGTACACATGATCAGGATTGGAGCAACCTGGACACAAGATTTCTCCCATATCTCTTCTTTTCTTGTGTTCCCCAGGGATAGCATATCTCTGTACTAGGAACTGAGAGGAATAGAGTGTACAGCTCCGGCTACCCTGCATGCCTTAAGACCATGTCTAGGCTAAGTTGGGATATGCATATCAACCATAGCTCAGTGGTGGAGTGTACCTGATTGGTGTGCAGAAGGAGCTAAGCTCCATCCCCGGTGTCTTTATGAGATCTGGTGGCAATGGATGGGAAGAAGAAACCTTGTGAGAATCTGGAGAGCCACTGCCGGTCAGTGTAGACAATGCTGGGCTTGATGGACCAAGGGCCTGACTCAATGTAAAGCAGTTTCTTATGTTACTGTGCATAAAGCACCAGCCATGGTGTCATGGTTAGAGTGTCAACAGTAGCACCCTGCAGACCAAGGTTCAAATCTCTATTCAGCCGTGAAGCTCACAGCATGACTTTGGGTCACTCACAGTCTCAGTAACATAGGAAGCTGCCTTATACTGAGTGAAACCAATGGTCTGTGTAGCCCAAACTTATCTACACTGACTGGCAACAGTTCTGATGAGTTTCAGGCAGGGTTCTTTCCTAGCCCTACTTGGAGATGCCTGGGATTGAACCAACGACCTTCTGCAGAACAGCCGTTCTACTACTGAGCTTATGGCTCTTGGTCTCTCAACTTGACCTACCTCACAGGATGGTTGTGAGGATAAATAAGGAGGGGGGCGGAGAGTCAAGTTCCATCTTGAGCTCCTTGGCAGAAAGGTGGAATATATACAAATGTAACAATAAATAAATAAACTGCAGCCACTAGTCTTCATATCAAGTACATCTTGCAAAATATACTTCTCCCATCCTGTCTGGCACCAGGTTGCTGTCAAAGCTTCCTTAGAGCCCCCCTTATATTTCATTGCAGCCTTCTTAAAAGGTCAGGAAAAACACCTTTTACTGTTTTCTATCCACTCTCTGCAGAGAGACTTTTGAGGAGGGGCTTCCTTGCGTCTGTGGAACCCATGCAAGTCTGAATCTGCGTGGTAGGATTTTCCTTGTGTAGACTTCTGCCACTTCATGTTGTGGGTGTTCTGTTTCTCATTCTGTTGATGGTATGTGAGCTGGGACTCCAAAGTTCTGGCATCCAGTTGTTTGAGGGAGCACTCTGAACATGCTTGTATGCACCTTCCTACCAGAAAAGTCCCAGATGTTGCAAATGTTGCAGTCAGTGGTTTGCTCAATTAAGTTCCCTGAAGTTGAAAAATAGGTCCTGACACTGTATCCTGGATCAAATTCATAAGCAACCAGAATAAGGGTGGCAAGTTGCTTCCTCTTCCTTTCCCCCTTGTTCCTCCCTCCTCCCCCCGCCTGCCCCCACTGGAGTTGGTTATTTGCATTCTTTATGTAAAAGAGATTTTATTATCGCCGCTGTGCAGCCCATCTCCACTCTGGTAATTGGAGTGATATTAATTTCTGTGTGGCTGGGAGTTGATGTGAGTCCGGCGATGCTGCGGCGATAGGCTTTTCCTTTCTGCGCTAACCGCCGCGATAGGCCTTCTATCAGTCTCTGTGCAGGCACCACACTTATCAGGAATGGAATGGGTAAAAAAAAAAGGGAAAGAGGAAAAAAAGGGAAACTTTGAGCAGCCTGAATTTCTTCTTTATCTGGCAGGATCCGCCGTGTGTCAGCAGTGGCAGGCTAGGAGGATGCTGTGTGGAGGCCAGGCCAGGCGGGTGGGTGGGGGTGGAGAGAGTTGTGTTTTTCAAAGCTCCTGGGTGCCATCCAGTTTTGTCCCTCCCAAATCTTCTTTTGCCAAATCTTCCTGCAGAGCCTCACTGACGTCTTGAGTGGCCAGGTTGGTGTACCTCAAGCGCTTTGCCCAATCAGGCACCTGCCGGCATCCTAGGTGATCATGGGGTGCTGTTTTATAATGAGTCAGACCATGGCCCATCGAGCTCACCATTGTCTCTAGTAGCGTTTCGGACCATGGCTTGAACCTGGGACCTTCTGCATGCAGAGCAGGTGCTCTGCCACGGAGCTGCAGTCAAGATGAAGTTCTGTAGGCACAACTTCATGGCCATCATTTATTAGATAGGGCTTCCATGACCAGACCGGGGGCCAAGCCCATCTCCCCTTTCAGGTTCCTCACTAGCAGAGCTCCAGAATCATCTGCAGCTTCTTTCCATGTTCTGTGTTTCCTTTTCTTCCTTTGGTCCCTGGAAGGGCATGGCTGAGTGGGAGATCAGTAGAGGGTTGGCTGGTGGGGGTGGGGAAATCCTTCCCATTCAAGCATGCAAACAAACAAAAAAATGGATTGGGGGCTGATGAAGGATCTGAGCATGCCTTCTACCTGTTGCGGGGCTGCTGCACGGAACTGAGAAGCATAGGGGGAAAGCTCACTCAGTGCACTAAGGTTTTCTTGGAAAGTTGCAAAAACTTCTCCTTTGGACCCCTGCAAGAAAAGCTTGGCTGGGCACATCTGGCAGGGATGCCTGAGCATCTGGAATCCTGCATTGGAATAAGACAGGGATAGGGAACATTTAGCCCTTCAGATGTTGCTGGATTACAGCTCCCATCATCAGTTTGGGTTTCTCTCATCTTACCATTTTTCCAGTCTGAACTTCAGTTCTCCACATTTCCACATCAATTTCAGGTGTTCTTTTTTTTTTTTTAAAGGCTTCATGAAAATTCATCACATTTTAGTGTGAATTTCTCCTAACGTGCACATTTTTGCAAATACCGATATGCATATTTGTATGTCAGTTTCACTTATATTTCCATTTCTATACACACTTTACCTTAATATATGCACTTTTGTACATGATTGCTTGGCTGGAGAACTGCATTGCAAAATTCGGAGAAGAGCAAGTTTCAAAGTGGGGCTCCATTTCAGCTGGTGTATTGTTGTCTTTAAATGCAAACTGAATTAAATTTCTACTCCACCTCTGTTGGCTATGCAGGCTGATGGTGTCATGGGACTCATTACATTGTTTCCCCTTTCTGATTCTGATTCTATTAAAAGTATTAATGAAAATCCAGGACAGAAGTTTTCAAGGTGCAGTTCTAGGAAAAACCGTGGCTACTTAAGAAGCTGGCAGAGGAAGTCCTTATATCCTCCTCCGCTGATTTCAACAAGCCAATCGCCATCTTGGATGGGCAGGCCTGCTTTGGAAGCTTCTTCCCTGGAGACTGCAGTCACGTGGCCCACCACATGGGGCAGTGATCATCACTTCCTGAAATTATGTTGATCTAGTCCAGGGTCCTGCCTCCCACATGGAGAGCAGAAAGGCGCAGGAGCCTTGTCCCTCAGTTGCACCCCCGTAATCTGAATATAGAGAAGTTTACTGCTTCTGAACCTGGAAATTTCAGTTGTGTGTATTGAAGGTTCGTTTGTGAGGAAACCTTCCTGAAGGGCAATGATGCTCTACCACATCTCTCCAGGGATGTGCTATGGGGCTTGGAGTACCCCATTGCTCCTGTTTCAAGTGCCCAGTATTTTTGCACCACTCTTCCTCCAGCACAGGCCTCAGCAGGGCAGGCTGCCAGGCATGGTTGGGTGGGAGAGGATGAGCAGCCGTCCTTCACATTTCTGATAGCCCCGCACATTCATGCGCCTCGCTGAAATGAGAAAGTCAAGGGAAGGAGAAGAAAATGAGAGGGAATTTTTTCCTCCCCTCTCTTTCTCTTTTTAATCTTTGCTATGACCTTGTTCGCTGGAGGGGTCTTGGCTGCTTTAAAATTCTGATAT